GGCCTCGAGGTTGATGCTACCCAGTGCAAGTCAAAGGTACATGTACTGTGTATGAGTCTAGCGTTACATTATACGTACAGCAGTTATAAGCAGTACAGTCGCTTGTCCTACTGCAGCACACACAGCTAGCAAAACGTTTTCAATGTCCTCCTCCATAACAAATTGTGAGCCTCTCGTCTCTACCTCCGTCTCCTGTCTCCACCTCCAATAGGTGGAGAAGGATATCACCTCTAATCTCCAGTTGTGCAGTTGTAACAAATGGTTTTTGGCCAATCAATTGTTAGACGTATTTAGTGAGATGGGACCATCTCCATCTCCAGGCACAACGCGAACACGCCCTAAGGGATTGGTGGGTGTCCGTAGGGAGAGCTGGATATTTGTTGCGTCAAGATCACTTGCAAGAGTGGCAATACCCAGTAACTTTTTTTTATTTAAGTGTGAGGTGTATTGTGTTACCCGCCCATACGTGTATGTGCCTGAACTCTAATACCCATTCCCAACTTGCATGATATGCCCGGTCAGGTTGTACCTACTCAGCCTGTACCTGCTGAAGCCTCCTAATACCCAGTAACTTTACCAACCGAATGAAGGAGATCAAAAGAAGCTGGTGGTCGTGATGGAAACGGACCTGTGAGAATAGAGACACAAATAATGCGTAGCGTATAGGATCCAGACAGCGTTTTTAATAAAACTACGAAATCCACAAACGCAAGATTTGAAAACATAATAAGAGTATCTGAGTGTAATCAAATACTATAAATATCTATTCGAATTAAAGCCTTTCGTTCTTCCGAATCAGTTTGTCTTCTAGAGCATAGTTATACTGGGTAGCAAAGACTTTCCAGACCTTGAGACCCTTTTCGAAGCGGGGCATGTCAGACGACGACATTGCTCCACTCGAAACGGCTTCGCGGTGCGTCAGGATTACCGTCGTCGGCCTAAGTGGCGAAGGTTTGCCGCGCATCAAAACTCTGCGATTTGTCTCGATGAATGATAACAGATCACTTCTCGGTTCAATGAGCGATCGCGTTATGACACGACTCGGTCTTTCTCGACGCTTTTTCGCGTCACAATCCGCATGACGATACGGAACTCAACATAATCCAAAACAAATGGGAATTCCATACTGATCGTGCAAGTATTATCGTCGATAATATGCTGTGACTCAAACAAACGTGGTCAGTAACAGTAACTGACCACGTTTGTTTGAGTCACAGCATATTATCTGGAAACTGTTTCCCAACAAACATCTACGATACAAAACTTAGCATACGTTCAAGAAAAGCAGACGGGGATCTTGGGTGCCTGTTGCATCAGGAGTCCAAATCGCCTTTTCTATCCGATGGAGGTCAAAAGGCATTGCGTAACTGTCCCGGAAATCTACCAGCTTCCCTCGTGCTCCTATATTCATCGAGTTGTTAGGTAGACCAGTACAGGGCAGTTGATCCATACCCACTTGTTTGAAAAAGGTGTCCAAATCTCCGTATAGCTCGTCAATCCCAGCCTTGAGTTGATCGAACACGGCCTCATTGTTCAATGGTGGACTTGGAGTCGTTGAATGCAGTTGGAACTGCCTCGCATCAGGCGACACCAGAACAGCTCTAAGCTTTCGTTTGAGTGCACGATCCAAAGATCTGGCTTGTTGTATGTGATGCTTCAGAGATGTACGCAGCTTGGCATTCTCCTGCTCGCTGACCTGGCGAAGCGTGGCTTATTGATCCGCAGCGCTTCCCATACCAGCGCATGCGGATTGGTACGTGCTGTTGTTCTGAGCTTCTCTGGAGGCTGAAATCTCGAATATACTCCTGCTGCATGTCTTAGGTGATCGAGAGCTGTTTCACTTTGTCTCGAAGGTTTGAAATCTTCTCCTTTCGACGCTGGCGCCACGACATTTTCTTGATATTAATACCAGGGTTTCCTATCGAGCAGTAACTATCTACAGAGCTACCCGACAGTATCGTCGTGCTGCCACAGCTCGAGGGCTTCGAGAGCGCGGGAAGTGGCTCGATTCCGTTCACCAAATCGCAGTCAGCTAGAAATGCGAGCACTGAGGCCTCGTCAAGCAGGAGCTCGGTGTCGTCGTACACCGAGGACGGCATACCCGAATGCAGTTTTGCCAGTCGTATTGAGATTTAAAGAATGAGGTATACAGTACATGTAGACCTGACGACATGCCATACACAGCGTGGCGAACAAACCGACTGGAGGTTTGTAATCTCACGTGCAGAAGATCCCATGATGACGATAGTGGTGTCCGGTCCAGTGTCTTTCAATTCCGCCTTTGGGTCCATAATTTAGCTACCGGTACGTGGTTTAGATTTGCACATAAGAACCTCTAAAAAAATACAAGTTCAAATAATTTGAATGGCCGAAAAAACGTTCATGCGGAGCAGTGTTGTAGATCTTTTGTCAAGTAGTTTTAGATGCGACAGCAAACCAAAGTTAAGGTGATTTCTTTTTAGCAGAAACACTTGGTATCGAAACACCGTAGAAGGTGACATTAAAGTTTCGCGTAGCCTGCTGTGCGTGTCCCTAAGCAGCTTTTTGCGAATGATTTGATCTGAATCAGATCATCTGAGTGAGGAGCTCTTTTCTATTATCTTTTTTAAACTTCCTGGATATACTTCCAGCTGCACTTTCTAACTTCGATCTTTAGTAGTTTGGAACGTTCTGTGATAACTACGAGCTCTGCAAGAATCTCATTAGCTTTTGTGCCTCCAAGTTTTAATCTTTTCATGTGCGCCGTTAAGAGGACTTTGTCATTAACTATCTTTTCTTTTTCTATAGAAGCCTTATCTGCATTGAGACGAGAGACCATGTGACTGTAAGCTAGATAAATTTATAAAGTTAAAACCGGCCGCCTCACATAAGTACGGTAATATATAAGCATTATTCAGGCGGCCAATTTGATGGAAAGAGATCACTTGAAGCATACGAATGCCCAGTTAGCTAAACGTCCCAAACAAATGCATAAATGTGTGATGGAAAAGCCGCGCAGTACATGTTCAAACGTATTATCTAGATATCAGGGAAACGGTGGTCTTTCGTCGTTCAGAGGCAATCCTGGCACGCGCAGTATGTAGCTTTTCTGGGATTAGAGCTCACGCAGTTTTGCATGCTATAGCTCTAACCACATCTTCGATGTTTCCCTTTCCAGTCTTGATAAACTTCTTGCACGGAGCTGAATCCATATGACGCCAAAATCCACATTCTCCCAACTTCGCTTTCAGCTCAACGTAACGCTGGTACGACTGCCTCAGTACATCCTTGTCGTACTCCCTGAACCGTATGCTAGACAAATAGTCTGCAAACGCTGGCGATAGAGCCTCAACGAAATATCGCCTATTTTCGGTTTGCAACCGCGTAGCAAGAGCCTTCTTTTTCTTTACGTCTTTCTTAAATAGGATTCTTAGCCACGCCAGCTTCGAGCCACACTTGTCAAGCATGTACTGCTCCAGCGTACTCCAGTGACATCTCTCACGACCGAGAAAGTCCACATCTGGCATAATACCCAGCCTAGCCTTAAATTCGCGCCCTACTGCGCCACGATAATCCTTATCCGTCATGCCGTATCTTAGCTTCGCCTCCTTTATGACAGTTGACCCCGTTTTTGGTTTGCACCGCAGGCAACAAGCTCTAGCTCTGATGGTAGGGTTATCGTTCTCGCATTTGCAGCAGTATCTCGCCAAGTCTGGCTCACACTGCTGGTAATGATCGCCAGTAATCATCTGCATCTTGGTGAGTGTCTGGTTGCTCAGAAATGAAAGAATCACTTCATAGACGGATTCATTGATGATACAAAACTTGTACGAGCGTGTCTTCCTGGCTTCAGCTCTGTCATGCGCTAGTTTCTTAGCACATTTCTTCTGGTGGCGAGGGATCCCTCGAGTAGTGAACCCTTTGGTGCAATAGACACAAACGGAAGTCAATTTTGCGGCCTTTGCTTGTGGTACATCGCTCTGATCGATGCTGTGCTTCGCCATGACTTCGGCGATCGGAGTTTTCTTATTTGAATGACAATACTACAAAATCACTAGCTGTCAAGCAAAAAGATTAAAACAATTTGTCGAAAATAGCTACTTCGTGAAAATAAGTCTAATCAAGCATTTGAGGTTTTTCTTAAATTTAGGAATAAAATCTCAAAACCCTAAGAATCCGAATAAAACCTCGCTGTAATAGGCAAGTCGAACACGGCTTATTAGTAGTTGAGAGCCGGAAACTACATGTATTGGCCTCAGAGTTACCGCAAAGCGGTACACTTCGCACTGTAAACTGCGAAGTACTACGTAGTACACGCAACCTGATCTCACGAATGGTGACCAATACTCGTCCATCGGTTCCTGTGTCAGTTTGAAACTCGCCAAGATCTACCCAGAATCGCTGTCACACGTCCTTCATGCAATCGGAAAACGAAGAGCTCGCGTTAGCGGAGACTTCGGTGTTGGCGTTCCTAGCCGAATACGAACAGACAGAAAGAGGTACGTCATCCCTGCGATATCAACTGTCCCACCATTGCAGCGTTCCAACTCTCTTAACTCATCCAAGCAACTCGAAGTTCGCAAGAAACAGGCGTGGAGTCAGCGACAGAAAGAAGAAGTCAATCGTATGCGCAAGGTCATCAACCGCTTATCCGTCCGACTTCATGAGCTCAAAAATGCAGCAAAAGTGCAGCGAGCAGGCTCCCAAATCAACGCGTTAACCGTGAAGCGTCAGTTAGTGAAAACAAGTGGGATGTTAATGTGGAAACGAATTGCTGAGCGTCAATATCTGCTCCGACGAGATAGCGAGATTGAGAATATAAAGTTACGCAACGCCGTGAGGTCTCAATTCCGCCAGGCTAAGTCATTCCAGCGCATGTTCAAGAAGAGGATACCTGAAGACGCGGTTGCGTCACTATCGAACTTAATTAGCGCCACGACCAGACTTGAGCCAGATCTTCTTTACGAAGCCCAGTATACATCAAGTTGACTTAGAGTATTCTCCGTACACAGTCCGAAATTCTACGTCTTTAGTGGAAGTGGAGCGAACTTCTGTCGACTATGCCGACGTAGACACTTGGTACCGCAGTAGATGAAGGTAAACTTGGTGAAATATTCCCCTTCGATAGGTTCAAAGTAGTTTGCACAGATTGAGCACTGCAGGTAGTTTTTCGGAATGGGTGGAGCTTCGGGAGGTTCGTACCAAGCCAACAAATCGACGACGTTCGAGCGCACGATCTGTTCCCATTGCGCTTCCGAGACTCCTCGACGCAGAAAACGAGGCTTGAAATGGTCGAACAGATACGTGTAGCCTCCACCTCCATAGCGACGGTATTGAATCCGTTGATGCACGTTCGTAGACAGTAGAAGTTGGGAACAATACTTCGGATTGGCCTTCACCAGATTTGCAATCCACTTAGCAAGGTGACTGTCGGAACGAGGCTCTTGGTCTTCATTCGACGCTGAGAGACAGATGTCGGTCATCACCACATCGCTAACAGCTAGCAGACCGATCGAGCTGAATAGTATCGACACGCCCAAGTCTACGAGTTCCAGTAGAAACGCGTACTGAGCCCCTTCTTGACACCAACGTTCCGCATGACACACCACAAGTTTTTTCCTCTCAGCCCCGGCATCCAATAGAGCACGAATCCAAACTCGAATCTTCTCGTTCGAGTCAGAATGTGCATTGTTCGAGAATGATAAATACAGTGGCGCATGCGTTCTCACTTGAGCCTGTAAAGGAATAAAAAAACGTTAGTTACATTCAAGTTTTTTACTAAAATATGTGATTTTAACTTACAAGTGCTAGACCCTGCACAAGGACTTGTTCCTTCGTATTGAGCTCTCCACTGGTCGCACTTATCAGCTGGTAGATGGCTCCAGGGAACGCCACACCGTTTCCACTCTCCACTCCGAACATCAGCTCTGCTTCCAGCGTTTTAGCAATACGTTCACTCTGCTCAATAGTCGACAATCCGACGGTAAATTTTTCGTTTATCTTCTCGATCTCGAACGTCGTGACGGTCAGTACATGTAGATTTTTCAGTCTCTCGGCCAATTGCAGTCGTTCCTTCATACAAACATCGCGTCCCTCACCTGGGAGCGTCACATCCACTATCAATGGCTTCAATTTGTTGCGTTTCAGTTGTTGCAGCCTCTCTAACTCGCGAAAAGCTTCGTCTTCCTTCTGCATCAGAAGGTTACGACCTCCGTGGGCAAAAGGATCGTGACGATAGTCGATCAGGTCTTCGAAGCGGATTTCTAGGTCTACATTAGAGGAATTGGTTGCTATAATAGCGCCGATATTGTGCAACACGTGCTCGTGGGGTAGCGAGAGCCCCACGTCCTCGGGCGCGATGAGCTCTCGGATGCCGCGGATCATTTGGACCAGGAGATTCGGAAGGTGTTAAGTACGCCTTAAGTTCGGTTTTTGCCAAAGCTATTTGTGGCGCCAAATTGCTAAAAGTTGCTTCAACTGATCATTTACCAAGTTGGGGACGAGTGTATTCGCCATGAACAACCTGTTTAACCGCAACAAGACCTTCCGACCGCAAAAGAGCCACAGCCACGGCACCAAGCGCTACGACCTGCACAAACATGCACAAGCCACGCTGGGAAAGTAGGTCGACCATCACTCTTGCTTGAAGTTGCAACCTCAAATAACGTTTTGTTTTTTTACTGACGTTTTATTGACAGTGGTGATATGAGGAATGCTGTTGCGCTGCCTGAAGGAGAAGACTTGAACGAGTGGCTCGCTGTCCACAGTATGCTCGCCTGGTGTTTGCCTTCCTTGATAGAACTCTTTACCAATAGTATTGTATCTTTGACCAGCGGTGGACTTCTTCAACGAGATCAGCATTGTGTACGGCACAATCCTCGAGTTTTGCACGTGTGAGTCTTGCCCCGAGATGCGTGCTGGCCCCAAATTTGAGTATCTGTGGAAGGATAACAAGGAGTACAAAACCCCCGCCAAACTCGCGGCACCCGAGTACATCGACATGCTCATGACGTGGGTGGAAGAATTGCTGAGTGACGAGACGCTCTTCCCAACCCGTGAAGGAGTTCCCTACAGTCGTGGCTTCCAGTCCGTGGTGAAAAACATCTTCCGTCGTCTCTTCCGAGTCTACGCACACGTGTACTACTCGCACTTTGACAAGATCGTAAGTATCGGCGCTGAAGCGCACCTCAACTCGTGTTTTAAACACTTCATGGCCTTCGTCACGCAGTTCGACCTCGTCGACAAACGCGAACAAGAGCCACTCAACGACTTGATCAAGAAACTCCTCAACTAGCGAGAAAGTAGCCATTTTAGCTACCAGCAAACTCAACAGACTGAATGCAACTACTACTTTTTTCCCCCTAAACATAAATAACGCCTCCCTAAAGGCTCAGTAGATCCACTGGCTCTGTGTGTTTATTCTGCTCCTTGGGCACAATTCCCGTGTGTGTCGCAGGGTTAAATGGGTCAAACCCTTCGTACCCATTTTTCGGTTTCAAAGGCGAAGAGTGCACTACACCCACATCAGAGAAGTCAATGAGGTTGGCTTCCTGTGTTTCCAGTGCTTCCGGGACTTCCTGCACCGGTTGCAACGGCTGTTTCATGGCTACCAACGGAAGAGCATGTTCGTGTTCACTCTCAGGCTCTTCCGGAATCGTTTCTTTGACCGACACAGCGTGCATGTCATGGATCAAGTCGTCGAGTCCTTGAGATCCAGGAGAAACCTGTTGAAACTCTTGAGGGGGTCGAGTAACACGCGCAGCCTCGCGATCAACAACAGGTTTCTCCCATTGGGTGTTTCCTGTCTGTTCGTGACGGAAGTAGACGGCGCTACGAGAGCGCGAGTACACGGGATACCACCCAGACTCGAGCACAAAGTTGGTCTGGCTGATCTCGCTCCACGCACTCCCGTCAATAAAGAGATCGTACGTCTTCTCTTCGTCCACCAGCGTCACCACAAGGTCCACTTCATGTTGATCTTCCAGATCGTACTCAAATTCCCACATATCCGCGTGGATATCGTCAAAGCTCACACGCTTAAGTTCGCGGCAGTCCAGAACGACCACAAACTCGCCTTTTTCCAGATCTCGGAGCTCCAATTTGTGGACACTGCCACTTACACCAAAGGCAAATGTCCATGTTAGTAACGTCCCAGGTGGACGATCGTCTCCATCACTTAACAGGTCGCCACGAGTGTCCTCCACGCGACGCACATACATGTTGCTGCTCCAGACGGACCCTGTATGGTGGCGATGAGCGATTGGTAGAAATCTTTCCGACAGCTGCTCCCATTGGACGCCTTCGGCTAGGAGATCGTAGACTGTCTCAAGCTTCCCTTGGCCCACTACAGCCGACTTGGCGTCTCTGATAATCACGCGGAAAGGTGTGAGCGTGTCGCTCCCAACGTGGAAGTCGTAGTGCCAGTTGGTCGCGTATTGGTCGCAGCTGTAGAGGCGGCGGCCGTCAAGTTTCAGACGCTTCTTGGACGAGATGCGGCTGTGCTCCAGCATCACTGTGTGGACCTGTTCCGACCCGGCAAGTACGAAGCGCCACGTCACGCGCTTCTTCGACATGGGCACACGCGCTCCGATGTTCTCCACTTCTTTGGACACACGCAGGACGGAGCTACTGGCGCTGCCCCCGCCGCTGGCAGAGGATGCTGTCGAGTCCATACTACCACGAGCTCGACGAGGCTTGGCTAAGTGGTCGCTGCCGCTGCGGCTACGCGTCCGGAGGGTTGGCGAAGAGAGCGTCATGAGAGTTAAAGGCTGGTCGAGAACGCCAATGCGGAATCTGGAAGACTGATTCCTGGAAAATGACCAATGATGGGCGCTTGAATGACAGTTTTAACGAATGATATAGGGGAGGGATAGGGGAGATTGGGTCGGAATGCTAGATGGGTACATTCTCTATTTGATGACCAAGTTGAAGATGGCGACAATCACATGATCGAGTTGTAGTGTCCAATGTTCGATGGATTTCCTATCGCTTAGGGATGGACCTCCACGTTGGTGGAGTAGACTTCGCTCTGTTCTCTTCCGCGCACGACGTTATTCATCCAGTCGGTCAGCTCTTCCGCCAAGAAAGTAGCTTTGGTCTTCTGAACATTGTGTCCGCCTTTTTCGAAGGCTAGTCGAGGGCCTGGATGGCAAACTGCACTTACATCCATGAAGATCTCTTCCTCAATCAGAGCGTCGTCTTTAGCCCAGGCCAAGAAACTCGGCAGTGATCGATTCTTCTCTAAGTGTTTGGCGAACAACGGGAAGTCGGCAGTGGCACACCGCACGATGCCTGCCGTGAAGTAGTCAGGCAGTTTGCTGTCTGGGAACTTAAACGACCGGATGTAGAGCTGTCGGACGAGCCACTTCGATGTACTCTCGACCACAGGTACACCAGACCGAAGCATCTTCCACAGGAAATCGTTTAGACGGGGACTTAAAGCTTGATGCGGCCGATGCCCCGCTCCAGCGAGGAGAACCAGTCCTTTGACGTTAATTCCTTGCTCATCCGCGTTAATTCCAGTAAAATGGACAGCTGCATGGCCCCCGAACGAGTGGCCTAGCACGAACACGTTGTCCGAGTCTTTTAACACGCCCTGCATAGCCTTGTATGTGAGCTGTACAGACGGGAAGGCACTGATGTGATCGTAGTAGTTGCTCGTGTCTAGAATCGTCGAGCCTGCAAAGCCAGGCAAATTGACGCCAACCACTCGAACGCCACGCTCTTTTAGTAACGGAATGAGGTGGCGGAAGTCTCTATACGTCCCTGGGGCGCCGTGTATCAACACCAGCGTCGGTGTCGCAGCACTCAAATCCTCTGGTTTGACGTCGATGTATTCGATCTTGCACTTATTGTCTACACCGATGAACGAGGGCTCTGGAAGCGGTGGTAGTGAAGGACGTAGTTTAGCTGTCGAGAATGACAGAGCCCCCAGGCTTGGCGGGACAGACAAGAATGGACCAGAAACTCGCTGTTTTGCAACACTCCTGACAGGACGAGAAGCTCTGAGCACTGCTTTCATACTGCCTTGGCCACTTTACGAGTGATACCGTGCACATGTTTACGAGGGTCGTTTCATAAACAGAAGTGTTTAGTCGACATCACCTCGGACTCACCAAGTGCAGCAGATGCTACGCGTGCTTCATGCGCGGTTGCTGTCGTGTGTGAGGTCCTATAGCCGCTGGAATGTTCTTCCTCAAGTGGAGATGGCGTCACGTGAAGCACGAGCTCCACCGCCACCGCTCCCCTCTCCAAAATATCTTGAAATTCGACGTCGCTGTACAATTGAGTACGTCGACATTCCACCACTGAACGAAGCTGTAGGAAGCCACTCTGAGGATCCTGTTACACTTGTGCTGGTGCACGGTGCGCCGGGAAGCTACAGCGACTTCCGCCATCTGATTCCAAAGCTGAATCGGCCATATATGCGGATCCTCGGCCTCAATTTGCCCGGTTACGCCGGATCCAGGGTGTCCGAAGAGCATTATCTCGACAGCATCAGCGCATTACCCACCGCTGACTTGGCACTAGAAGCTGTCCAGAAGCTGTGTGACAGTGGCAACGTATTCCTAGTCGGCCATTCGTTCGGAGCTCACACAGTGATCAACATGGCAGCGTTAGAGACGCACGAGAAGTTCAGAGTTCGAGGCATGGCGTTGCTGGCACCGGCTGGCTGTCGGCCTCATAAAGTGCTACGACCTCGCGAGAGTGCTATGGTGGTGAGCTTGCTACGTAGAGACAACGCAGTGCTCTCTACACTAACGTCGCACTTGATTAAGGCGATCTACACGAGGCTGCTCAAGTTTCCAAGTGATCATCCGCCAGGACACTACATCGCAGGCCTTGTTCGCGCAGGCACGACCGACTTTAATGTGATCCGAGAGCAAGTGGATATGCTACGAAAGAGGAAGATGCCGTCCCTTGTTGCGTGGTCACAGAACGACGAGTTCATGGAGGAGGAGATCCCCGTTGAACTTGCTCGATTATGTCACCCTGGTCCACGTTTGAAGTTCGCAAGGGGAGGACATAACGTGCAAAAGACTCGGGCAGATCAAATTGCTGACGCATTAAGTAGATGGATAGAAGAAGTGTTAGATAAAGAGGGTCGTGTTAATTAGGAAAGGATCCAACTACTATAGTGCTGCCTATAATCATTTGCTCGATTACCATGTTCTTCTTGTCTTGTAAACGTTTTTTGTTCTAGATGCAAGTGGGACCATCAAGGGAATATCCGCATGCGTAAGCAGTCTCACAATTTATTTCTCCGTTCGAAGCGCATTCTAACACACAGTCAAGATGGCGCTATGGAATCGAGTGACTTCGGCTAGTAGCCGTGTGTTGTCACTTTCTGTGGACTGCGTGGGATACGCTGGTCGTCAATGCTACTCGGTGGTCTCTTCTGTTCCAAGTTTTCTACCTCAACGAACGACTTTGATCGCCCGAGAGTATCGAGCTCCACCTCCACCACTTCCAGAACCAAAGTACTTGGAGATAAAAGGCTGTTGTAAGCTCGAATACGTCGAGATTCGACCTTATGCGGCAAAGATTGCGACGGTCATTCTGGTTCATGGTGCCCCTGGAAGCTACCGAGACTTCCGCTACCTCATCCCGCTTCTTGCCGAGCATCCTGGTCTTCGTATCATCGGGATCAACCTCCCAGGTTGTGGCGACTCGGTGGTCGAGAAGGTAGAATTTTAACGGGGTCGTATACAGGTCAGGCCTGATTATTGGGTCAGGTTCCATTTCCAACAGGATCCTCCTACATAAGAAGAAGAATCGAGCAGTGAAGAAGATGACGAGGCTGTAGATGTCGACAGTGATGATGACAACGAGGGCGTCTCTGGTACTAGCAGCGAAGAGGACGCTGCTGCTACGAATTTGGGCGCAGATGTGATCAGCAATGACAGTGATGCCGATGAAGGCGACACTGAAGCCGACCAACCTCGTGCCGCGCAGACCATCGTGGTCTAAGCATTTTAACCCAACTGCTTAGCTTCATATCTTTCACTTCAATATGTAGCTTAGCAATTGGTCCTGTGTTTGGTAGGGCCGTCAGGAAACCCGCCTGACCCAATTATCAGGCCCTACCCGTAAACGACCCCAAAAATAGCTAACCGTCGAGAAAGCTCGTTACATCGAGACTGTCGACGCTCTCCGAACGTCAGAAGTGGTACTGGATGGAGTTCGACAGCTCTGTGGCACGAAGGAAGATCACGACGATGTCTTCTTGGTAGGACATTCATTCGGAGCTCATGCTGTACTGAATATGGCAGCATTGAACGCAACGGAGACGCAGAGTGTTGCAATTCGAGGCATGGCCTTGTTGGCTCCTGCTGGTTGTGTACCGCACAAAAGTCTGAAGCTCGGGGCCACTGCGTTGATGGTGAAGATGTTCAAGTCCGAGAACTCATGGGCTGTAAGTGCAGCCACGTACATTACCAAGTTCGTATACACTAAGCTGTTGCGTTTCCCAAGTAACTCGCCATCAGAGTTGTTCGTCTCGGCAGTGATCCGAACGGGCACTACGGACTTTGACTTGATTCGAGACCAAGCTAAGTTGTTGGGTAGTTTTCGAACTCCCACTCTCATCGCGTGGGCTAAGAACGACGAACATATACAGCCAGAGATCCCACAAGAACTCGCAACGTTATGTCCGGATGGCCCCCACCTCGAATTTTCAGGTGGAGGGCACAATCTTCAAAAGACACGCGCGGATGAAATTTCGAAGGCAATCATCAAGTGGGTCAACGAAGTCGTAGCTAAAGACAAACTTGACGAGGAATTAGTCTCAACTGCAGCGTAAGTGTCAGGACAGAGGGTTTAAATATAACCTATTGACCTTTGATTTATTCTTGGTAATTCTTGAATTGGACGAAGTTTGACATGGGTCTGGTATGAGTTAGCAACATTCTAAAGTATGCCAGCCACGGGTTACTTGGGTATCTTGCCTTGTTGTAGATCTCCTCGTGTTGTGCATGAGCCTCAATCCCCGCCGCCGCCACTTCCTGACCCAAAGTATCTCCAAATTGACAATATCTGTAAGATCGAGTACGTTGACGTTGAGCCTCAACAATCCGTCTCAGCAACAGTTGTGTGTGTTCATGGCGCTCCTGGAAGTTTCCGAGACTATCGCTATCTCATACCAATGCTTGCGGAACAGCAGCGTGGTATTCGGCTCATCGGTGTCAATCTTCCAGGCTACATGGGCTCGGAGGTGGAAAAGGCGCATTATCTCAAGACAGTCTCAGCTCTACGTGCTGCAGAAGTGGTACTACAGGCGATTCGTCAGCTTTGTGGTACGATAGAAATGGATGGCGGTGATATAGTCCTCGTTGGCCACTCCTTTGGTGCCCACACAGTGATCAACATGGCAGCAATGAACGAGACACTGCGAGTTGCTGGAGATAACGTCAACACGATCAGACTTCGAGGAATTGCAGTTCTGGCACCAGCTGGGTGTGTTCCTCAAAGAATGGTGAAAGAAATCCCGATAAAGATGCTGGTCACACTACTACGATCTCGCAGTACCGTGGTTGTTCGGTTAGCAACACGCTTCGTCAAGTATCTGTACACGGAATTGCTGGGTTTCCCCAGACGAACTCCAGCGACGTCATGTGTATCTGCTGTGATTCGAGCGGGGACTACAAAGTTCCCACTGATCCGAACTCAAGTGAATTTTCTAAAGGAAATGAAAATGCCAGTGTTCGTCGCGTGGGCACTTGACGATGTTCTGGTTGAGCCTGAAATTCCCGAAGAACTCGGCAAACTCTCACACCCTGGCCCGCGTCTTGAGTTCGCTGGAGGTGGACACAATATTCAGAAAACTCGAGTCGAGCAAGTCACAGCTGCAATGAGCTCGTGGATTCAGTCAATCCTGAGTGAATGCAACTCACTTGAGACTGGTATGACTCAGCATTTGCCATAAGACAAAACACCGTACCAATCTAGAGAAATATATTGAAGTTGTTGGTAATGTAGCCATATTGAACTGCGTGAGCACAGCTTACGTGAGTGCATGACGAAATGTGTTTATGAAGAAAACTTAAGACTTTTCATTTGCTGCAAACATTGTTCGCGTGAGCGAGGCGTCGGGGGGCGGAATCTTGTCGAAAACGACGGGAAACGGCAGCAGCAAGACTGGAGGCTCACTCGTGAATTTGCACTCAGCAACACAACTTCTTACTGTCTCCACACAGCTCCTTCTTCCAAGTATTGACGGGGATCATGTTGCTAGCAATTTCTTGAGCTCTGGCACTACGCACTATCAATTAGCAGCATTTCTCGATCCTCAGTTTCGTTCCGAGCAGGAAGAAACTAGTCCCACGAGGAAGTCGCGCAACACCTCCACGACACTAACACTCGTTGGCGTATGTACCACGTTTACTGGCCTCAGTAGTTCGTTTGTACGCACTAATGATGTTCGGCGGCTTCCACGCGCTCAGGAACCGTTCCTGCCACTGCCAAGGTACATCGACATGGAGGACCGCTGCAAGATTGAATACGTCGATATTCCAGCAACAAACGACCACACCGCCAACCAAACGACGATTGTGTTGCTGCACGGAGCTCCTGGAAGTTTTCAAGACTTCCGCTACTTCATTCCGTTGGTGCAGTGTCCAGGCGTTCGAATTATTGGATACGAAGGATCGACCGTGCACAAAGCACACTATCTTGAAAGTATCAGTGCGCTTCCAACAGCACAGCTTACGTTCGACGCGCTTCGGCAACTTACAAGTGTCAACGAGGATGTCTTCCTAGTGGGTCACTCATTCGGGGCACAAACGGCTATCAACATGGCAGCTCTAAATGCAGCTAAAGCCTGCTACATGTATCAACATTCGTGGACTGGCTTTACTAGCCCCGGTTGGCTGCAGCTCTCATCACGTGATGCGACCTCGAGCCAACGCACTCGTGATCAAAATGCTGGGCTCAGGGAGCCCTTTTCTTGCTTCTCTCGCCTCTCAAGCTGTCAAGGCCATCTACACAAAGTTGTTGCGTTTTCCTGCTGACATGCCTGCGGACGTTTTCGTCGCTGCTGTCGTTCGTGCTGGAACTACCGATTTCAATCTGGCACGTGAGCAAGTCGCGTTGCTCAAACGTCTGCAGATAGCTACACTAGTTGCCTGGTCACAGAGCGACGAGTACATCCAGGAATCGATTCCAACGGAACTGGGCCAATTGTGCTACCCTGGCCCACGTCTCGCATTTGCCGGAGGAGGTCACAACATCCAGAAAACGCGCGTTGAACCCGATTGGATCGCTGATACGGTGGCGAATAAGTCTGCTCCATCCGAGACCCAAAACACTTTATATTTGCCTTAAACGAAAAAAAAATACCTTGAGCTCTAAAACTTGATTTTTGTTCCCATAACATGTTATGTAACGTATTATGTTAATGTCTACGCTCGGTTGTGGCATCGCTCTCGAGCAGTTGCAATGAGGTTATCAAGCCCGGGGACTTCTATCCGATTAGCAAATGCGTAGGCTGATAATTGCAGTGCAGCAGTGAGCGCTTCGGCGTCATTGAAAGGCTTGGCGTGCGCCTGGTCGTCTTCTCCTTCTGCTGCAGCACGCTCCTCACTTTTAGGTTTAGCACGTCGAGAGCGAGGAGCGGGGGGTAATTCTTCCGAGAATGGAACCCACTCCGGCACATTCTCCTCCGCGTTGATATACTGCAGCCCAGTAATAGGTTCATCCAGTCCTAGTAGAGCTACTAGCCCGTCCAATCTTGACGTATCTAGTGGGATTTTAGGCATATTTAGTTGCTGTAACTCGAGTACCATGTCCCCCGAGATGATCCCAGTATGAACCCAACAATTACGAATCAGGTGCGGCGTCATACATTGCCACGACTGTACAATATGCTGCAGAGCTGTAAGTAGCCCCAATTTGGCTTCCAAGCGACTTGAACCCGCTGCACGGCGTTGGTCCAGCATCCACTGAGCGCCCCGAGTCTTGACGTTTGTCTTAAATTGCTGTATGATTCCAGCTCGCATGGGCTGAAGATATGGCGGAGAATTGGGCGGCAAGAAGCGAACTTTCACGTTGCTGAGCTCGAAATCCGTCGTCTCTGTTCCATGACACGGCGCAGTGTCCACCAGCAGCAACACATGTCGGTTTCCCATTATAGAGCTGAGCGCTTGCAACCAATCAAAAAACATGTATCTTGTCATCCACGCCTGGTCATTTGAGTACAGTCGAGCTGGGATTTGAGTACTGTTTAGTTCATTTTGGTCACTGTGGATCACCACGGGCTCGAGTTTCTCGCTGCCGTCCATGTTGCAGCAGAGCGCAATACTCAGCAATTTTGGTCTTTTGGTCTCGCCAGATTGAAGTCGTTTTGGTACCATCTGATAAAATAGTCCTGTTTCGTCCAAATTGAACACATCTCGGGGTTCATACTCGTCGATACATTTACGAAGACTTTTGAGTGCCGAGAAGGCGTGGCGCTGCTTGAAGCGGAACACCCACGATTTGGTCACGGATTGCTGGCCTTGGAGCAATTCGTTGGCTTTTGCACACAGAACCAAATCGCTTAATTGGGTCAAATTGGGCGAGTGAAGCACAAATTGATACAATTTTCGCTCCATTTGAGGAAAACGTCCCTCTTGGTTTCTCTTGGCCGAAGGATTGAGACTCGTGTCCTGTGGCGCACGCAAAATGGAGCCTACTGTGGAGCGCCCCAGTAGAACGGAGAAACGTACCTGCGCCCAGCGAATAATGTCCTCATTGTGAGCTATAAAACTTACCTGCGTGTCGAGCGCCAGTGCATTGCAGTCTGCCAGTGTCCGGTGCCCCCATCTACGAGCCACCGTCCACTGCCAGTGTCTGCAAAGACACATCCCAAGGACACTCATGCGCCTGGCAGTGCAGCTTGCGGCTGCACTACAACCGGCTACACTGAGTACACATGCGTGCAATGGCGAAGGACTATACCAAGGACTGTATGCACAAGGACATCGTTGGCTGTGCGCTGCCAAGATGGTGTACTCAAACGAGAGTGCATTTATCTAGAGTTTAGTATTGACTTATTTGCTATTTGTATACTAATCTACTTTTGCGGTACAGCGGGTGTTCTGGGCGGAGGCTGCTCAACCACTTTGCGTTTTGACGCCTGCCCGCTCATCAGAGAGCAGCAGAGAAGAGCAGCCTCGCCAGACACCGCAGTCCTTGTCGCGGCCTTTTGCCCGGCACTTACGTGTTTACGTTACCTTCCTGATTAGTTCCCTAAAGTTGACATTTAAGTGTATTTACATTTAAATGGCTCCTACTCTTAAAAGCGATCGACACATGGAGAACAATCCCTCCGTGACGAACCCTACGTCACCACTGGTTATGAGCCCAATCAGGGCGCAGTCTGCGACTGACGTGGCTGCTGGCGTTCCAGACACAAGTTCTGGAATTTCGACCAATCAAGATCAAGCTTCAACCCCATTGGCAGGAAATTCAAGCTTGAACAATGACGCAACACTGTCGCACAGTGATGCAGAACGACTAATTCGTTCATTGGCTGGAATCCCGGGTGGCCGCCCGTTATTCCAAATGTTACTCGAAAGTATGCATAAACTTTCGTCGACGAACACGGAAGAATCCGTGCCAGTTGACAATCCTCCCCAGTCGCCGCTAAACCAACAAAACGGCGACCGAGACCCTGACGATCCGTGGCGCCCTCTAGACAACATGAACCCTACTGGCCGCTACAACGACGGCGAGCTGGCTGAGTACACCAAGGTCCTTATCAACTCGCCTCCGATCAAGCTGCCCAAGCTACATCTGAAAGGCGACTACAAGGCCTGGAAGAGCGAGGTGCCGTTGCACTTCGAGCCGAAGATGCTGGGAGACATCACCTATGGCCCTGAGCGTTACGATGCAGTAGAAGGCATGCGTCGTGACAAATATCGCGTGTGGTATAAGTCGCGCAAGAACAAGGCATTCTCAGCACTCGCGTTGTCGCTGTCTGTTGACCTACGTACGACGTTCAAAATCGACGACATCCACGACAACATGGACGCCGCCGCTATGCTCTACGATGCGATTACGCAGCACTTTGAGGCTGGAGATGGTATTAATCCTGATTACCTACTGCAAGAGCTAGTGACGCGCCGGCTCAAGCCAAACGAGTCAGTATCGCAGTATGTTGACGACATTGCAAAGAAGGTGACACTTCTACATCAAGCTAATGGTGAGTTTGCTGAGTGGCAACATGCAAGCCTACTACTATCGAACAGCGTGGAAGCGTTTAAAGATCTCGCCCGTGAACACGGCGATTGGCTTAACAACCATGATCGTAAGACACTTACACTTGCTGAAGCTTTACAACGACTACGCGCTGCTGAACACCAGCGTGACCAGCTGCGTGCACAGACCAGACAACCGGTCGCGCATTCAATGCAAATTGCTCATGTCGGAACGGACCAAGGACAAGGTCAAGCCCGAGGACGCAAGCGCAACAAGCAACAGCGCAAGCGATCTAAGGGCGTTGCAGATAAGAAGCAGCGCACAAACTGCGCGAACTGTCAAGGAGAAGGACATTGGTATGCCGAGTGTACGGCTCTCACTGGCCAGCAACTGAAGCCAGAGCTCGCGAGAAAGCTGCAAGAGAGACAACTAAGGGCTCCCGTGTCGCTGGTGAACTCTGTACGTCGTGTGGATGCGGTAGCGTCGGAAGAAGATGGCCAAGGACTGTTTGCTGGCCTATCACTATGCGATGCGAATGCGATTGACCTTACGGATGGTGCTGCCCTATCGTCTACGGCTACGCAATCACCTGCATGGTCACTAACGTCTCCTGCAGAAAGTGAAGAAGGAGGAGAGCGTCGTGTTGTTGAAGGGGTGCGGGCAAGTACGCAACGCACTCAATCGTCGGTTGCGCAAGCAACGCAGCGACTGCAGCTGCAAGTTGGAGTTCCTGTTCAACACATACAA